TATGCCCAGCACAGGTCAGATCTCGGTCCCCGTGGTTTCAGTGCTAGGCAGGTTCCTGTGTCTCTCTGTGTCCACTGTCAGTCTCTGGACCTGCTGAGCGACAAGTGCCACTGGGGACCTTTCCGTCTAGGAGGAAAACCTCCCCAAAACCTCCCCAAACCTCCCAAAACCTCCCATCCCTCAGCCTCAGACCTCAGCGGAGGGCAGCAAGCAGCTCTTGGTCCCAGAGACACCATGGCCCCCAAGGAAGGCACCTCTTGATTGGGGGGCGGGGGTGGTGGCCAGGACCTGCACCCGAAACTCAAGCCTCTGCTTCTGCCCTACCTCTGAGCGCCCCACACACCCTTGGGGTGATGGCACCGCTCCCCACTGCCACCCCGTGCCAGGCCCTGGATGCCTCTCCCTGTGAGCCACCACCCTGCCGTCGGCCTCCTGTCTCCCAGCCTCTCGGTGAGCCCGGGCCCCACCCCCGCCCACTCCCCTCACCTTCGGCCTCACCCGGTGGCCCTGCTGCTGAAGCCCCCCACTGCCCGCCATCCCTGGCCGCTCCAGGGACCCTGGCCACCCGTGGGTCGGGGGGCCAGCCTGTCCCTCTCCAGCTGCCCACAACACACACGGGTCCTCGCCTTAGCACAAAACGTTTTAGGTTTATTTAAATAAAAATTATAATTTATACAAGACTTTTTCTTTAAACAAATAAGGTTTTTTTTAAAAAAATGTTACCAGGGGATCTTTTTATCAGTTCTTTACACAGTACAATCCTTTCATTGAACAAAAGTCACACTGGTCAGGGCTATTTACAGATTCAAAATAGACTCGAACTTCAGACATAAAAAATTTAACATTCATTCTAGCTCAGCGATTAGTCTTGGAAACTCCACATCTGCCCAGATTTACAGTTCGGCAAAACCACAGGTCCTCGCCGGTGGGGAGCCCGGGCCCACGCAGCTCTGCGCTCCTCCTGGCAAAGCCCCGGGCAGCCAGAGGGCCTGCCGGTGGCCCGCTGTGCCACTCGGGGACCCCGTCCTGCGGCCCAGCACCCCTCGGCGCGCCCTGGGCTGGAGCCCGGCGGCCGCTCCCCGGCACGTGGTCAGTTTTCATCTCCCTTTCCCCTCGAAAGGGACTCGAACTGAACCGCCCTCCCTCTGCACTCGGCGACAGGCCCCCATCGGCTGACCGAGGCACGTGCTGACCCCACGGCGGCGGGGGGAAGGGGTTGGAGCAGCACCCATGGGGTCCCCCCCGCAGCACGTCCCTGCGGGCAGTTCAGGGCCCACCCTGCCTTGCTTTGGATACTAAGAGGCGGGTCTCTCTGGGGTGTGTCCCCCGTGTGTCCCCGAGGCCTCTACGGGGCCGAGAGCCCGTCCACCTGCGTCGACTCCGAGGGCCAAAGTTTAGAGTGGGCGCTGCCTTCACCGAAAGGTCGACCCATAGAACCGCACGCGCCAATCCCGGTGGGACGGCCATGGGCCCCCCAGTTCCCCGGGGCGGGGCGGGGCGGGGTGTGTGCTTCATCTGGCTGGTCAGCAGGGGTCCCCCGAAGCGGCCCCAGGCCCAGGAGGTGACCCCGCAGCCCCTCCACAAAGGGGTCACAAGAGCAACGCCATCGGCCTCGCACCCCAACCAACAAGTGAGCATCAGAGCAAAGGTAGAAAGGACATCTGAAAAATGATACAAAAATAAGAAAAACAGCTTGCTCTCTGTAAAAAATAGAATCTTCTGTTTCTTCAAAAAACCCTCAATGACACCCGAAGGACTCAAGACAAGTCGAGGACCTGGGGTAACCGCATGGGAAGGTGCACGGACCGGGAGGGTGGGCATGCGACGTGCCGCACCCCGACACGTGTCCTTCGCAGAGCCCGCCCCTGTCCTGACCCCCCTCGGCCTCCAGGGCTGTTCCAGAATGGACCAAGCCCGGCCACCTCCACAGGGGCCATGGCTTCCAGGTGACAGCTGGGGTGGGCAGGGACCGCCCCCTCCTAAGCCCACGCTGGCACAGGGTCAGGGGTACAGATTGCCTGGCCCCAAACCGCTGGGCTCCGCTCGCGGTCACTCCCCAGAGCATCCCCTCTGCACGGAGCGGCCCGCCATGGGTCTGGGAGGCTCCTGTCCACCTCCGCCCCCGCCCGGAGCCCTCGCCCTCCCTCACCGACGCCGGTGGCTCAGCTCGGAGGCCGGTGCAGCCGCACTGCGGATGGGATTCGTCTGAGAGCCGCCGAAGCCCAGGTCTCCCAAGAGCCGGGAGAACGTTCTGGGCTTTCCAAAGAGCGAAGTGTTAAAAAGATGTGCTTCCACCGATGTGCACTGCGCACCTGTGTCACACGCCGGTCACAGGCCTCCCGGCTGCTCATCGGGCCGACACGGCAGGAGGGCCAGGCCCAGGCCTGGGCACCAGGGCCCTCCCCCTCCACCCTCACTGTCCCCACGGAGCACACAGCACGAGCCGACGGCACGCCGAGGACACGCGGCCGGAGGTCCCGCCGAAGGACGGGCAGGACTAACTGGCCGCCCGTGCAGGCTGGCGAAGGGGCCTGGGTACCCCAAACAGCGACGTCCTTCAGCTATGGCTTTGGTGTGGAAGGGCTTCCGGCCTCAGAGAGCAGGCTGTGTGGCCGATGCCCGGGCTCCCTGCCCAGGCAGGGACAGGAGCAGCAGCTGTGCTTGGCGGCAGCCAGGACAGCGTGTGTCCCACACGTCATCCTTCCCAGTGGCCTCCGAGGACCCTCTGCCCGGTGTCCACAGGTGTCCGTGAGTCGTGCCTCACCCACCAGGTGGGCTGGCACCGTCCGAGTGCCCCAAGCCCTGCGTGAAGGGTCTGTAAACACAGGCTCAACACAATAGAAACCACAGATCGAGGAGAATTATTGCAAAAGATCATGAAGATGTCCCATTTCTTTTCCCACTACCGAATCATCGAACAAAACAAAACAAAAGCCAGCAGTGTCCTGGGAGAGATGACACTAGCTGTCACTGCCGGAAGCTGCCGCTGCTGTGATTTTCACATACTGGCTGAAAATGGTCTCGAAGGCCTCGTCTCTATGCACCATGGCACCGAACACCAGCGGCTGGCAAGAGGAAACACTGTCACTGAGCCACGGTGACAAGGCCACGGCCCCCAGGCCTTGGCGGGCCCTGGGCCGGGTCCAGGTGGAGCCACATGGGGCCTGGGTACCCAAGGGAAAACCCCTTCCCACCCAGATGCTGGGCTTCAGAGAAACCCAGGCAAGAGGCCAGGGTCAGGCCACCAGTGCCACCCTCTGTCCCTGAGTCCCCTGTGGACCTCAGCCTCCCGGACCCAAACTCGATGCAGCCAGAAGTTTCTCTGGCCACGAGGGGCGGGGGAGGAAGGCAGGGGGCAGCGAGGGTGCTTCTCGGGCCCCTCCACCCAGCTGGAGCCCAGCGGGTCGGCAGCTCTGAGCTCACCCCAGGGACGCTCAGGGCCACACTCCCAGGGCCACCCGCCTGCCCGACACTTACTTTCTGGGTCGATGGCGTCGACACGGCGATCCCCATGCCAGACCCCGGGAGGACAGAAAGGACCTTGTACTGGAAGAGGAGAGCACAAGGTCACCACGGCCTGTCGGGCAGGGCTGAGCCGCCCGCCCACACCCAGGGCCTTCTCCTCCGTGGAGCCCACGGGCGGCGACACCCACAGGGCGCCGGCTTCCCAGCCACAGGCGAGGATCGAGGCAGGACTCGGTGACGAGGCGGTGGGGCAGGCGGGCCCGGCCAGCCCCACCGAGTGTGCCCACTCCACACGACCACACACGAAGGAAACCGGCTAAAATCGCCAGAGCGGGGACGGCAGGCTGCTCTCGCCGACACCTGCCCCAAGGTGCAGGGGCCTCGTGGGCGAGGGGCGGGTAGTGCCATTGTCAGAACGGGCTCGGGCACCTGGCCACAACCCCCTCCCCATCCGTGCGGGGACGCTAGGCGCCGACCCACAGGAGGGGCTGTTCTTCTGGAAGGGGGCACCGGCATGGCAGAGCCGGGCCTGCTGGAGTCTGCAGACGCCACCGCCCTCCTGTCAACGTGCCCGGCTCCCAGCCCCACCCCGCAGGCCTCGCGCCCCCGCAGCTTCGCCTCCTGAAACCAGAAGCGGGTCACGGGACGCGGAGGCGGGGGGGACGCGGAGGCGGGGCCACGCCGACCTTCTGAATGTCTGTGATGTCCACCAGCTTGATAACTTTGTTCCTCTTGGAGGAGCCGGACTTGGAGCTCTCGAAGCACAGGTAACTGCGGGGGAACGGACAGAGGCATGGTCCAGCCCCCGAACCCAGGGGGCCGTGCCTGCTGCGGCCAGCACTGCCGCAGTGGCGCCAAGGTGACCCCCAAACAGAGAGCCCTGGGACCTGTTACGAACCTGGCCTTTTACAAAACACGGCACTTTTAGAAAGAGCTTCATAGCTTCTGAAGACTAAAACCCACTGCTCCACACTGAATCTGCACTACGTCCCCACTGCGTTAACAATCCTTGGGACGCGCTGAGCATCCCTGAGGCCCGCCCGGGTCTCCTTGGCCATTCCTTCAGCGGGGAGACAGGGAAGTGTGGGCCCTTGGCCGCTGCCGTGTGGGGGACGGCTGCCCACAGGCCCCCGAGGCTGAGAACAGCACCATCTCCCCAGCTGGGGCAGCCTCAAAGCTAAGTCACCTGCACAACCATCTTTGGGCTGCTGAAC